AAATTTAAGCTCAAGATTGGAAATCCCATTATATCATTCCTTTTTAAAATACTACATTTTTTGAATGGTTTAAGAAGACATTAATGAGCACTTTCTGGCTAATGAGCTTCTCATTCAGACAGGCTAGGAGGTTCACATTCAGGCAGTACATATCCTGAAAATAAATAGCTTAGGTCATCAAAATAAAAAAAGATTTGACAGCTGAACTGTTCCTCTTAGAAGTTTTTAGGTGAACTGTGTTGTACCTCAGCATTAAATTAGAATTTCAAAAGAAATCTTAATGATCCTTTCATCATGCCAAAGAAATAATACATCTCCTGTGATAAAATACACTACATAAAATAACTTTAATTATTAACAGCTAATAATTGATGGAAATCATATATGTCAATACACATAACTGACACCAATTGAGGGCTTACTCTGTGGCTCAATTTTACACATTTTACAAATATTCAGGTACTTAATACTTCTCATATCTCTGTGGATCAGTGCCTTTAACCATTTTACAGATGAAGAAAGGAGTGGAGTTAGAGAGCTTAAGTAACTCACAGGAGGTCATATTGCTACTTGTCATCACTGAGCCATAATGCCCTCTGGCTACCTATTTCTAACACTCATTCTTTAAAAAAAAAACAAAACCAAAAACAAAAAACATATATATATATATATTATTGATTTTTTTACAGAGAGGAAGGGAGAGGGATAGAGAGCTAGAAACATTGATAAGAGAGAATATGTATGCACACAAGTCCTTTGGTTGATTTCTTCCCCTTACCCCCATCCTCCCTTACTTTTCCTCTGAGGTTTGAGAGTCTGATTGCTGGTTCTCTTTCTCTGGGTCTGTTTATGTTGTTCATTATTTCCTCTAGATGTGTGAGATCATGTGATCCACGAAATACCCTTGTAAGAACCAAAACTGCAACAAGCTATAATGTTTATGCTGAGAGGCAAATGAATCAGTCTATAGTGAGTTCCTTTCTGGGCCAACAGTTCTTTTAAGTCCCAATTTCAATGCCAGATAGTTCCTTATATGTACATACCAGCCATGATATTTCATTCATATATATATATATATATATATATATATATATATATATATATATATATGATATTGATTTTTTTTTTTTACAGAGAGAAAAGGAGAGAGATAGAAAGCTATTGTAGAAACATTGATGAGAGACAAACATCTATCTGCTTCCTCCTGCACACTTCCCACTGGGGATGTGCCTGCAAACAATGTACGTACCCTTGACCAAATCGAACCTGGGACCTTTCAGTCAGCAGGCTGACGCTCTATCCTCTGAGCCAAACTGGTTTTGGCAACACACTCATTCTTTTAACCTTTAGGCATGTCATTAGAATGAACATGATTACAAACACTAGTCTAATTATAATCTTTTGCTTAATACACCTCCTTTGTGTCTAGGATGATTTATGCTCAATAGAAAATTCAAGTTAGATCACATGATGTCTGGGATAATTGTGAAGTAAAATGAGTAAGAGTAATAGTAACAACTCTTACATAGCTGTTTGGACATGCCAGACACATCTTAGGAATTTTTACTACTTTAATTTTGATTTCTACAACAATCTAATGAAGTAAATAATAACATTGCACCCATTCTACAGAATGGCAAACAGCCACAGTTAAAATAACTTGCCCAGGTAACATAGCTAGTAAACTATAAAAGCTGGATGTAGACCCAATGGTCAGGTGCCAGAATCCATACTTTAATTAATTATTTATTTATTTATTTATTTATTTATTTATTTATTTATTTTTTACTGATTTCAGAGAGAAAGGGAGAGGGAGAGAAAGATAGAAACATCAATGATGAGAGTGAATTCTGGATCTACTGCCACTTGCATGCCGCCCTCCAGATATTGAGCCTGCAACCTGGGTATGTGCCCTGACCAGTAATCAAATCATGAGCTCTGGTTCATAGGTCAATGCTCAAACACTGAGCCACACTGGCCTGGTGTTTATATCCATGTCTTTCACTCTATAGTATAAACTAATTTCCTTTTTCTTCATTCTGTGCAGTTGAATATCTCAATAGCAGAGTGATTTTATTTCCCACAAAATGAAAAACAGAAAAATAAATCACATCAACCACACAGATCATGTATAATACTGGCCATAAGGATAGACTTCATGAGGTATTGTAAAACAGGTTGGCAGCTACCTTTGCTGTGCTGAAAACACAATATTTTGATAACAATAACATGCCTAGTTTTTTCAAATAAAAGCTGTTCACAGCCACATATTTTTTTTTTTATCTGTTGGATGGCAAAACAGTTAAAATAAGAAAGATAAACATTTTGTGCAGATCAATAATAATCTCCAGACAACTTACACATCATTTACTACTTCTTACTATATTGTGGCAAGTGGTTTTGCTATTCACTCTAGAGACAGATACAATCCTAATGTACCAAGGAAAAGATAAAATTGATTTTTTTTACTGCTCTAATATAAGAAGATTACACATTACTTCACACTTTTCAAATACATACAACTTAATCTGATATGTAGTATTTAGGACCACTAAATTTTGCAACTACAATACTTAAGTAATTTGGAATTTCTATGAATTATGAATTACTGCAGTGAGACAGGGAATATGTTACCTTACAAAGATAAATTTGATGGAGTAGTTACAAGTTTATCTTTTCTTTTATTTTAGCTGCATACAATTAGCTTATATGGCTGAAGGAAGGATAGTCTTCTATTTTGGGTATAGAACAGTACAATTTTAATTTCAAAATAAGTGAGATATGCCCCAAATTAAAAATCATATATACAAATATCAAGTCTCCTATGGAAATAGACTCCTTTTCATTATCCCCAGGAATATGATGGCATTTACTATTCTGCCAGCTGAGGTTCAAATTAGATCGCTCCATATGTGACAGACACCCTGAGGCCTGCGTGGATCCTGAGGACAAAGGTGATTGTTTCAATTATTTTCCTTGAATGGCTTATCTAGCCTTGGCCTCAGCATGGGGCTAGACACTGGGAGCCTGATGTATGCAGCCATGTAATTATGCATTTAAGTCTATTTTCCTAATTAATTTAAATATGCTTGAGAAGCTTACATGGCTTGACTCTAAAAAATCCTGTGGCCTGGGCCCTGAGTGGGATCAAAGCCCCTGAAGTGAGAGTTGATCATATCTTTCATGAGGTTTTGAAAGATGCTTCTTGGTAGAGGAAATCAAAGACTCAAAATTTGAAAACCTGGAGAAAAAACTACTCTTATTTTTATTAATTACTTTTTTTTCGGGGGGGGGGATTAAGATAATGACTTTGAGAAAACTGTTTTCAGTCATTGCAAGTTTGACTGATGGTTACCACAGCATAGAAGAATCTTCAGAAATATACACATTGCCCCTACTAATGTGATAGATGATTCATTAATGAAACCTAGACAACTAGTAAGAGAAGATAGGCCCAGAGCTAAGAAGAAGAGACGGTCTAGGAGTAGAATTAGTAACATCTGTGCCAAAATATCTCCAAGCCTGTATAGGGGGAGAGGACAGAACAGGACTAACTGAGCCAACTCTTGAAATGAAGGAATGGCTCAGATGTTTCACCGGAGTCTTAGAAAGCAACATCTAGCCTAGTAACCCTCACATCCACATACTCAAGCCTGGATCAATGATCCTGAACATGTACCCATGTCTAGGACACTGGTAATTTCTCAAATCCTAGAACATACTAATTCCTGCCCATCCTGTTTTTCTCTTCCATTTCATTTTTAGTGAAAAACCTTCCAAATTTGCACTGATTTGAATAAAATGGAGCCCTTGCTCAGCTTCTTTTCCTCTATGAGCATAAGCTGTTATATCATGATTTGCACAGGCGTGGCTGTTTTCTCTCTGGAAGGGTGGGCCACCTGCCCTCGCCAGAGCCTTCTGCATGCAACCGCAGTGCCCTGCACTATGGACCGATGCTGGCTCATTTTGCCCTTTGAGATTCTGTTTCGACTTTACAGTTAGCTGTTAGTGAAGTTAGAAAGAAATTACTCTAGCTAAATCAATACACAGCAGAGGTTTTTTTTGTGTGTGTGTGTCTTTTCTTTTCTTTCATTTAAAAAGAAAAATGATATCCAATATAGGAAGATCAGTGAAATTAAATACCCGCTTTCCTTTTGCCCTGAGCATGCAGAGTTTTAAAAAACAGCAGTCTGGTCAGCAAGTGAAAGATCCCTGCCTGGCTGTGAAGGTATCTGCAGTCTCTAAATAAAAGCCAAAAGGTTGAAAGGCAGAATAGAAAACTAAGAATCTAGCCAGAAAATATAAATTGAACTAACCTATACTTTGCTGATGCAGAGAACTTTTTTCCAGAAAAGTCATGCTAACAGGTCTATTGTACATGTTCTAAATTCATCAATGAGTTATAAAATTATTTTATTTTAGGTTATTAATCTTCATAAAATTGATTTAATTTCTAGTTTGTCTTTTATTTATCATACCTATACTAAAAAAATGAAGTTACCATCTGATAACAAGTATAGACATTGGTTCATGCAGCCCAGCAAAATTCCAAAGATTAGGTTTGAGCATGCAGTATATACAGAGAAGCAAATACTCTATATGAAGAATTTCAAAGATACTTGTGATTTCTGATGTATATTGTGAAATATCATCTAATATTATCATGAAATACCAGACTCATTTCATAGATGCCCAGGTAGAGCAAGCAATAGTTCCTGTGTATTGGTTAAACGTTTTCTAAATTTCTATTGAACCTATGTGCTGTACTGTCTGGTTACATAAATTTCCCACACTTAAAAGGTAGGTAGTAACGTCAGATGTATTTAATGAATATACATATTGAATGTAGTCTTAAGACTACATATGGCAGCCTTTGGAATTTAATTTCAAGATAAATACATGTAAAGATGAAAATGAATAACTTTCAATTAAAAAATAGCAGTTGGATGGCCTTTGAACCAAAAGCAATAGATGTAAAATAAAATCATGGTGGTACTTACCACAGTGAAATTCATAACTTTCAATATCCAAATTGTCATGGCTAAGTTAACTATCATGGTAACCAACAGCAGAAGGACAAAGAAGTATAAGCACCTCTTTCGCCATCCATAAATGCCCACAGGGTACAGTTGTGCATTCTCAACCTTTGGCAGATTATTCTGCTGTGTTGCTAGTATGTATTGTTCTCGTGTCATCTGGAGAGCAAAAAGGAAAAGAAAAGCATTCAAAATCAAAGCCACTGTTTTGTTTTCTTAATCAAAAGACACAAAATACCTAAAAATAATAGGTAGTGAGCACTCACATCATTATTGCTCTGTAATCAAACTAGGTTAATTCATTTAATTAAATGTGGTTCAGATATTAAAAATCCCCTCAACTCATTATCAACAATACTGCCCTTTAGAGCTATTTAATTATTCTATATGTCTAAGATATGTAGTATTTTCAGTCAGCTTTGTCTAACTCTAACAGTAGCCTTCTCTCTCAGGAGTCTCCGAAGATTCTCAATTCTACTTCCAGTTGTCCAAAATCCAACAACTCTATGAACATTCAACATATCCTTGGAATAAAATAAAAATAAAAATGTTATTTAGGGTAGACAAAGACCATGGTATGACAAGGTATTGATATGCCTTTATCTAAAAATGCAGTACACAAGTAGCTCGGTGTATGTGATTTAAGAAACCAACAGTGCTTTTGCTAGAACTTATGAAAATAAAATATGATTTTATTTGGAATTATACAGTATAATTATTTAATGAAAACTTTTCTTTACAACTTTGTGGGTAATTTATTTTAGTTGTATTTCAATGAGCTATCAGAATGAAACTGAACTTTGAAAGAATGAAACAATATGCTATATTATCCTAAAATGCAGCAGTTTTCAAATGGTGCTAAAAGAATTTTTAAAACATGCAATACATGACTATTTAGTCAGGGCACTGACCTCTATACTCTGAGATGGTCAAATAAAAAAAGAACATCCAATACAACAATAGCCAACTAGTGTGAATGAATAAAAATTATGTCAATTATTTTTGTCTGATTTGCAAAAACTAGTTTTTTTGGTGTGCTGCAGCATTTTAGTAATCAATTTATGTATGCCATGAGATAAAAAAAAAAAGGGGTGATAACTGCGGCTACAATATAATATAATGATATTAGCAAAAATCAGTTTTGGAAAAGGAATAATATATCAACTTTGGACATAAATTATTTCTTTCACAAAGAAAATACACTTGTTTATTGTTTGATACAATAAAAAAATATGAAAAAAGTAAATATATACCGTATTTTTCGGACCATAAGACGCACTTTTTTTCCCCCAGAAGTGGGGGGGGAAAAGTCCCTGCGTCTTATGGTCCAAATATAGCCTACACATATACTTTTAAAAAAAAAAGTTTTTTTACTTGCCCGGCTCTGTGTGGTCTCTGTGTGCTTGCCCGGCTCTAAAATGGTTCTAAATGCTGCTGTTTACTTTACAGGGTTGATTACATGTGTTTATGACTGTGATGTTGGGTTTTAATGCACATAAAATATTTTAGGACACTATTTGTTTCAGAATCTTTTTTTCTTCATTTCCCTTCTCTAAAAACTGGTGCGTCTTATGGTCCGGATCATCTTATGGTCCGAAAAATACGGTGTGTGTGTGTGTGTGTGTGTGTGTGTATATATATATATATATATATATATATATATATATATATATATATATATAATTCAGAATAACATATTTATTACCTAAAGGATGAAAACTTTAGTTTGAATAAAATGATTTTTTTATAGAAGGATAAATTTTGCTTTCTTTTCTCTAGGTTTTTCTCAGATATCTTTTTTGTGTGCATGTCAACTAAGTAATATACCAACAAAATAATAACAAATATATTTTATCAAATAAAACAATAAAGAATTAAAATGCCCTGACCAGTAACATAAAATATATACAATAAAATTATTATGTTATGATGTTTATTTATGCAATCCTACTTTAGATAAAATTTTGAACTCTATATTGAAAAATGCAAAGAACAGAAGTTCTTATTTGGCTTTTCCCATTTTAAAAGTTTTAGAACTGTAACTCCAAATTATATTAATGTAATATTAAATATTGTTTTCAATATTTTATAATTAAATTATATAATAAAAATAGTTATATACATTAAATCATAATTTAAAACCAATTAGAGGTGCTAATAATAATTTTAGGTGATGAAGGACAAATTTTTTCATAATATGACGAATGGACTTTTTTATTATCATTCCTACTATTCAAGTTAACATTTAATGTTTCCTTGAAACTAAACCAAACAGGTTTAGTTCTTAATTAGATCAAATTTGGAGGAGAGACGAGTAACATATGAACTGCTATGTAACATAAGTGGTATAGTAGGTAACAACCTGCCCCTGGGATTTTCTTTGCCTGAAGATTTTTATTGAAAATTTCATAGTTCTGGCAGTGACTGTGATTACAGAATAGACAATAGATTATATGAAGAGGAAATGAGTCACTCTCAGGATCATCAAAATGAAAATGAAGAACAAGGAACATAGGTACAGGAGAGTAGAAACCTGCATGTACCTGACTAGCAGGGAGAACTTCCCTTCTGGAGTTGTTCTCTGAAAAATGACACATCAAATGGGAGTTACATCAATCACGCATTGCCTCTAATCCCATAGTAAAGTACACTTCCTTCCTACAATCCTCTATTTCTCCCATTTATATTTAGACATAAAGTGGCGATTATTGTGAACTTCAAGAGAAATAAAAAATGCATTAGGTCTCTGAAATAAAACAAACACAAATTACAAAGAAAAGGATCTTTCAGCAATAGGTTTTTATTTTCAATTTTGATTGAAAACCAAGAGATCCGGAAAAACATAGCAATGCCTCTAACAATTATAAAGAGTCAATTGGATAACAAAAGGCCAAGAGAAAAGGTTGTCTAGAAAACATGACATATTTTGTTAATTAATGAAAGATATTTTATTACTTCAGCTTAAAGAAAACTTAGCATTATACTTTATATACCTTCTTCAGCACAAAATACTTTAGAGCATGTACATTGCAAAATGTTTTCTTTAAAAGGTTCTTCATTTCTTAAATCTCACAGATGGTTTTTCAAGATCACAAAAGGTTGTAGTTGCTGGTACAGTGCAGTGATATTACCAGCAAAGAATAACAACATACACCTCTAACAGATTAAGGAAACAATCCTAAAATCCTAAATTTGAAACTTTTACAACCTTTGCCTAAGATATAAAATGTTGATCCATTTTCAAGTATTGAACATATTCTAAAATATCTTGGTGCTTGACATTATGAGACTTTATAAATAATATAGAGCATTGTTTCACCAAGTGCTATTGTCATTCTAAAAAAAAAATATCTGTAATTGCAGAGATACGAATTTTCTCAGAACAGCTAAGCAGGTCTCCTGAAAGGAGAGGGAGTGATGGTCACAATTCCCTGAGAGAAAATACCTTGTACTGAGATAGCTCTCTGGCTCAGTCCTCTCTATCTCAATTGCAATATGAATTCAATATCCTTAAAAACCTTTCTTTGAAATTCCTTTGGTGTTCAAGGTTGTGTACACTCCTTCTGGGTACTTAAAGTAATTACTACCTTCTGCATCTTACTTTTGCAATTCTATTTCATACCATATTTCATACTGACAGAGCATTCATTATACTCAAATGACTTCTAAAATAGAGTTTTTCTTACTTAATAGCAACAAAGTCTTCACCTCCTTGGATCAAGATGAGTATTATTCACAATAGGGCAAATAGACTTACTTATAACCCATTGTAAATTAGATAAAGTCAGATTTAAATTTGGACTTTGCAGATTCTTTATGAAGAAATATATTTTCAAAATATTGATAATGTGAATAAAATTTCCAACATGTTACATGGTTATATGAGAGTTGCCTGGTCAAATAGAATTAGACCTTGTAAATTCATTTTTCTGTAAAGATATGAGAAATCTGGTTTTCAGGAAGGGCTATTTTGTTCAGTAAATTTAATAGTATTGCAAATAAAGACTAGGAGAGAATGAAATGTTCTGGAATGACCTTAAGAAATTCTGGTGAAGTCTACTGAGCTGGAGGGAATGTCAGAGATATTAACTAGAGTAGCAGAGCTCATTGGCTATTTCCCCCTTGCCTCACAAGAGGAGGCAATAGTACGAAATACTAAGACCAAAGGAACATACTAATGATTCCAATGTAACAAGTGTCATTTATGTTATATAAATATTCAGAGAAGGGCAAAGTAATTGAGAGTCTAGGCAGAAGTGGGTCTTCCCTTGGCAAAATATGTATTTAGTGACAACTATGTGCAGGTAGAGTTCAATATTGTTTCACTCATGAATTTCACATATTTGGAGAAAACACAATAAAGAAATAGAAAATATATCAAATTTTAACATACTCTGGAAATGATAATAAATATAATAATATACAAATAAAATAAATATAACAGATAAATTATACAAATCATATATACTATTACATTGTGATAGATTCTATGAAGATAATAGACAAGGTAATATAATGGGAAGACTACTTTAATTGTAGTAAAAAGGGAATACCTCCTAGAAGAAGGGGTACCTGAGATGAGACTGAACTAATGGAAGTCTTCTAAGATGAAAGGTAAAACAGATCTTTAAGTATTGAAAGCCTAATTAGAGTGGTCTAACTAAATTTTTAAAATAAAGAAGTGAAGAATGTGGACCATTTGTTGAAGGGGAAAGAAGAGCAAAAATGGGATTTCACATGAGAGTATGGAGTCAGGTGTTGGAGTATTAAATCAGGGGCCAGTGCAAGTCTATATAAAGGGAGGTAGAATGAAAAGGAAATAAGGACACTTAGTAGGGAGCCAATTTTAGGTGACAAAGCTGAAACCAAGAGTTGAGTTATGCATTCTTGGAGGTGTGGTGGTGGAGGAACTGGAGACAATGATGAATTACCCACCAGCTGGGGTAATACCCAAAAAGACTAGTTCTCCAGCTCATAAACTAGAATCCTGACATGGAGAATTCACAGGGGCATAGGCAAAAACTAACTGTGCTGTGGTTCAAGTTTGCAGGTGCCTGAAGAGGGGACAGGTGGTGCTGAGACATCTTTTTAGATAGACAGGAAAGGCTAAAGATGATTCAACCTCTGCGACTATTTGGGGGGAAGAAAATAAGAGGTCAAGGGCGATAATAAAGCATAAGATAAATGTTTCAGATTGCTGCTGGTTAAGGATAGAAATTGAGTGATTAAAGGAATGCCCTGTTTTCTGTTTTGTTAGGGGGAAATATCGGAAAGGATGACCAAGTGACCCTGCCACAGATTTGTATCTTCATGACTGGAAAAGAAAGGATTCAAACAACCTTAAAACAGCAGTGAGCTGCCAAAACCAGTTTGGCTCAGTGGATAGAGTGTCAGCTTGCGGACTGAAAGGTCGCAGGTTCGATTCCGGTCAAGGGCATGCACATTGGTTGCGGGCACATCCCCAGTAGGAGGTGTGCAGGAGGCAGCTGGTCGATGTTTCTCTCTCATCGATGTTTCTAGC